GGGTTTAATAGCCAGAGAGGACAGGCAGACTGACTGGAATCTAGAGTGCAATACAGTAGCAATAAATGCGTCTCATAGCAGGGATTTCCAATCGGATCCTTCTGTTCCAGCAGAGCCCAACGGCTTGAAGCCTGAAGCCTCCGCTGGGACAGGAATGTCAGCGGGTGTGTGTGGGCCTCCAGGAGCTGCGGAGCGTCTCGGGGAAAGGGGGGGCGGCGACTGTACCTCGATGTTGCCACCCACTCGGGCCAGCAGGGGTGGCAGGGGCTTGTCCTTGTCGTTCCTCAGGCCCTTGCGGCTGGGCCGCCGGGAGTTCACTGCGGGCGACAGCACAAGCGCGTTAGTGAGCCACGCCGAGGCGCTGGGCATACAAGACACCACTGACAGCGCGGTGAGCACTGGGAGGAACCACGAAGCCGGGCCAGAGAGAGACCGCCGGCTCGCGCACGGTACCCCAGATAAGACCCCGCACTGGGCCTGTTGGAGGCACACGCACAACTCGGCAGCTTTTGTACACTTGCCACAGAACACACACTTTTACGACGCTTTACAGAGGGGAAAAATCTTTCCGAGTTCATTTCAAACAGTCATGAATGTGCATCATTGTTACAGTTGTCATTCACAACTGAGCAGTAAAAAGAAGGAGTTCAGGTGGGCAGCTGCGTCAGCATGCGTAGGCTGCAAAGGAACAAGTAATAGGTTTATTCCCTGCTGAAAAGAAAAAAAAAACAAGGCGAAACGCTTTCTTTCTTCTCTTTCCAGCATGAAATAAACCCATTACCTGTTCCTAGGGAGTAATAATGTGCAGGGGAGCTTCAATTTTGGAGCACAGCCACTAGGTGGCAGGAGAGAGCTATACAACAGCGCAACATGGGGCACTGGTCCTGGAATTTACAATGAGGTACATTTTAGAGGCTCTGGGGGACACGTGGTGCGTCAACCATTTCTGCACTCATCTTGCTGATGAGGCAGCTTCACGTTCGCGCCCACGGCCCTGCAGGCTACACCATCGTCCCCGGCTTCAGCGGATCTCATTGTACTAATGATACTGAGCAGCACGGGAGACGTGCAGAAAGAATCATTTGGATTTGGACAATGATGGCGGCCACTCACCTATCCCACGGTGCACACTGGAACAACAGACCTCAAGACCCATCATGCACCCAACACAGCTGCAGCGTACAGCGCACCAGCCAGCACTACGCTCGCGGACTCACCCTCTGCCCGCTCGTCAAAGTCCTCGTCTCCCTCCTCCGAGGCCACGGAGTAATCCGACTGGTTATCCGACTGGTCATCCTGCCAGTCTTTCAGACACAGAGAGGGGAAAAAAACCGACATCCGCGATTTAGCGGGCGTAATAAAGAGAGGGACGGAGATGGGGAAACAGAGGAGGTGGGAAAGGAAAGGTAGGGATGGAGAGAATGGGGTTCTGATGGCGAGGAAGACCGTGACAACATTCACACACACTTACACACCGAGCCAGAATCCATTCCAGCAACAGCTCACACAATGACGGGAATACACACACACACTAACCCGAGCTCACTTAGTGAAAGACGCCACACACACGCTTCCATAATGTGTATACACACACACACAGAGAGAGGCCACGCAGTCCAACAGTAACACTACACACACTTCCATAATGTGTACACACACACACACAGTCCAACAGTAACAATACACACACACGTACAGACAGTCCTCGCACGGTCCAGCCCAGCGACGACACACGCTCACACACACAGACACACAGTGCAGTGCAGAGGTTCTGACCCGGCTCTCACCCCGTGTTTTACCTCGGTCCTCCTGCGACCCGTCGTTGTAGTTGACCTGCTTGCGGATGCGCTTGCCCTTGCCCAGGTTCCTGGCCAGGTCCTCCTGCTGCTGCTCGTAGTGGTGGCGCAGGAGCTTCTCCCAGTAATCGGGGTCCACGCTCTCCTCCTGCTTGATGATCTCCCTCTGCACCTCCTCTTCCTGTTCCACCCCCCCCACCAAAAACGCACCAGTTAAGCTGGGCTGAACTGGACTCCCCCCAGTTAGAGGGGCCCGCTCTCTCCCCCTGCTTGATGATCTTCCTCTACAGCTCCTCAGACTCACAAACTGGGCTACACAGGACTTCTCCCAGTAATCTACACCCTTCTGCTGCTTGATTTTCCTCTGCACCTACTGCTTCTGTATATTTAAACACACACTAGTGGTGGACTCTCAGTAACCAGGGTTCACACCCTCCTACTACTGCTGCTTGATCTTCCTCTACGCCTCCTCCTCCTGTTAAACCGGGGCTATACTGGACTACTCGGCGTAATCTAGAGTAATCAGCCATCTGCTGATGGATGATCTCTCCCCTCCACCCCTTCCTGTTCATACACATACCAGTTACCAAACTGGGCGAATCTGGAGATCTTCCAGCATCCTACACCCTCCTGATGCTTTATCTCTCTCTGCACAGTCTCCACCCAACACAAGCAAGTGAGCTCTCTGGATTAGACTATTGCCCGCTCTCGAAAAGCGACACTGGGCAGTTCTGGCCCCCAAACCGGTCTATGCTGGGATACCCGGCGCTCCGTGCTGCACTCACCGCCTCTTCCTCATCCTTCACGACGTACTGGGCCACCTTGAAGGAGCTGAGGTACTCGTTCATGCTCTGGATCTCGGTGTCGTCCGTGGCGTCTTGGTTCCGGTCCAGGAGCCGGTCGATGGCCTTGTCGTCGTAGTGGATCACGCTGCTGTCCTCCCCTTCTTTGTTCTCTCCTGGGCGGGAAGAGGAAGAAGGATGAGCACGACCGCGTTGGCCCGGGCACGCAGGCCAGCGCCTGGACACCGCACCGAGAGAGGGAGAAGGAGCGCTCCCCTACCCTCCCCGATCTCATCCTTGAACAGCTCCTCCGTGCCGAACTTCAAGATGTCGTCCAGCTCCTGTTTGCTCATCGACCCCGTTTTGGAGCCCAGCCCGGGCCGCACCACCAAGTGGGTCAGCATCATCTTCTTCTTGGCCACCTGAGTGATCCGCTCCTCCACCGACGCCTTGGTGACAAAGCGGTAGATCATCACCTTCTTGTTCTGGCCGATACGGTGGGCGCGGCTGAAAGCCTGGAGGTGGGAGAGAGAGTGGGGGGGGGGTCAATACAGGGAAGTACAGACAGGTCACTGCAGCGAGAGCACGCTCGGTTAGGTCATATGTACACGGGACGAAAGAGGCGCTTCCTGGAGATCCACATGTAAGACACACCCCGACAAGTGAATCGCCCGGATGTAGTCACAGGGGGTGTAGCCAATACCAGTGAAAGAGAGATAGTCGGGGTTACCTGGATGTCGTTGTGGGGGTTCCAGTCCGAGTCGTAGATGATGACTGTGTCGGCGGTGGCCAGATTGATGCCCAGACCGCCCGCTCTCGTCGACAGCAGGAAACAGAACTGCGGCGCTCCGGGAGCTGAGGGGGACGGAACATAAACCGTGCTCACAGTCACCAGGGGATGACGGCATTAATGCCACCCATCTGATGTCATGGACAGTCACGAACGCCAGCAGCCATATCACCCTGCAACTCACAACTGGCAGCCCACTGAAGCTCAGCAGGTGTGACCCTGGTCAGTACCTGGTCTGGAGATCTCCTGGGAAAAACTAAGGTGTTAGGGGGGTCTGTGTGAATCCAGTATAGTGATGGGGACACTATAAAAGGGCGCCGTCCTTCAGATGAGATGCAAAACTGAGGTTTTGACTCTCTGTGGTCATTAAAAATCCCAGGGCGTTTCTCCAAAAGAGTAGGGGTGTTACCCCGGCATCCTGGACAAATTTCCCATTGGCCCTTACCAATCACAGCCTCCTAATAATCCCCCTCTATGAACTGGCTTCATCACTGTTCTCATCCCCACTGATGGTTAGTGTGGGGAGCGTTCTAGCGCACTATGGCTGCCGTCACATAATCCAGGTGGGGCTGCACACTGGTGGTGGGATTCCCCATTACCTGTAAAGCACTTGGAGTGGAGTGTCCAAAAAAGCACTATAGTAGTGTAAGGAATTATTAATTATGGATACCAGTCACAACCACCAGTAACACCTCATTGCTATTACCAACATTGACACGTGGCCAGTACTCCGATTCTTAATATCATACCGATTGCTACTTCATTAAGGTCAGCCACATTTCTAGTACCAATCAGAAAAACCATGGCTGTCAATATCACCAATGTTAATGGCACTATGAATAGTATTCTGATCAGTATGGTCACTCAGATCAGTGCTATGGTCCTACTGTTGAACCTGTCGAGACTCTCGTGCCAATCAATGATACTGCTTGCAGTGAATAGCATGCCGACGGCAGTGTTTTACCGTTGAACCTGTCGATGGCCTCCTGTCTCATGCCTCCAGTGATCCCACCATCAATCCTCTCGTACTTGTAGCCCTCATGCTCCAGGAAGTCCTCCAGCAGATCCAACATCTTCGTCATCTGGCCAAAGAGAGAGGGAAGGAGAAGGAAGGTGGTCAGCAATATGCAGTGAGGTAGGCAACACAGTACGGATACTGATCTGTGCCAAACCATGAACACATACAATGCCTTCCCTCCCTCTATTATTGCACAATAGTACTCCCAGATGGCAGATCTTTTAGTGCAGAAAGTGTTAGAGCATCACAGCCTACTGCATCCACTCCTACACGGAGTGTTGGTGTCCTACTACGATAACACAACAAGCACTGAAGTCTGGGTCAATGCTTCACCTGTGAGAAGATGAGCACCCTGTGCCCACCCTCCTTCAGCTTCTTCAGCATCTTCTGCAGCAGCAGCAGCTTCCCTGCCGCCTTCGTCAGGGCGCTGCCATCGTACATCCCGTTGGGCATCTTCGGGGCTTCCTGTTGGCGACAGCAGAGGGGAGGGGGGGGGAGACGTATGGGTCAACGCGACTCCAAACCAGAGAGGATTGGCAACTTCTCTCCCGGAGGGCTCCCACCCTCCCGCCCCGTGCCCTACGGCCGGCAGCGTACCATGGCGGCCACGGGGAAGAGGTAGGGATGGTTGCAGCACTTCTTGAGGTCCATGACCACGTTGAGCAGCGAGACCTGGTTGCCCCCGCCCCGCGTGTTCAGCGCTTCGAAGTTCCTCGTCAGGATGAACTTGTAGTACTTCCTGAAACGAGCAGTCGACACACTGCGGCTTAGGCCAACAACACGGCTGAGTTTTTATACCGCACCCGGCAGTGCGTTAGAGCACACAAACAACACCTATATTGGCACCCGTCAAGAAATGGCTGAATGAGATCCCATCCCTGGTTCAACGAACAAACAGGCTGGATAAACCTTCTAGGCAACAAGATTGTATCCTGCAGCACGTTCGTGTGCTCTCGAACTTGCACAGTTACCCACAAGCAATGTAACATTTCAGAGCACGCAACTAGAACATTTTATTCAATCAATAATGGAGTGTCTATTGCAGAACAACTTGGGAGATAGGCTAATAAAATATCTTGGAGATACTATACACCAGGGGAGCCCAACTCTAGTCCTGACTGCTGTCCAGCAGGGCTTAAGGGTTTCTTCACATCTGCAGCATCCTAACAACAAGGAACTGCTTCGCTTCTTTCTAATTCAGCAAACAGGCTGATAATTAAGGGCTCAGATGGAAGGACAAGCAGAAGCAATCTGGCCCCTCCAAGACTGGGGTTGGGCCCCTCCCTGCTGCACCCTGCACGAGCGCCACACTGACTTCTGCATGGGGCTGAGCTCGACGCGGACGATCAGCTCGGTCTTGGAGGGCATGTTCTTGAAGACGTCGGCCTTCAGCCTCCGCAGCATGTGGGGGCCCAGCATATCGTGGAGCTTCTTGATCTGGTCCTCCTTGGCGATGTCGGCGAACTCCTCCAGGAAGCCCTCCAGGTTGCTGCCGCCCCAATCCAGGACAAGAGGAAGAGGAGGGGGGGGGGAGGGGAGAGGCCATGAGCATGGAAACGCAGGGACGGGCGGGGCAGGAAACCGACTGCACGAGAAAGGGCAGCGCACGCCCTCGCTCCCGTGTCAAGACGGGGAGGCGGCGGGACTCACTTGAACCGCTCGGGCGTGAGGAAGTTGAGCAGGTGGAAGAGCTCCTCCAGGTTGTTCTGCAGCGGGGTGCCCGTCAGCAGCAGCTTGTGCTGCAGGGGGTAGTTATTGAGAACCCTGAAGAACTGAGAGAAACGGAGAGGGATCAGCGCCCAGCGACTGGAAGAACCGCGCTCTAATCAGCACATCCCTAAGTGTTTTGGGCAGTACAGTGTGTGACGACCCTAGACTGGGTGTTTTTGAGCACAATCTAGTATGTAATTAACCTGTATCCTTGTGTGCAGGATTACCTGGGACTGGATGTTCCCAGGTGCAGTTCAATATATGTGTCCTGAATCACTTGGACTGGTTGTTCCAGAGTGCAGTATAATGTGTTGTAGTGTGTGCTGTATGATTACCTTGGACTGGTTGTTCTTCAGTCTGTGTGCCTCGTCCACAACCAGACAGGCCCAATTGATGGAGCCCAGGATGGCCATGTCTATGGTGATCAGCTCGTAGGAGGTCAGGAGGACATGGAACTTCACCGCTGCTTCTTTCTATAAAGGAAGAAGAGAGACCAGGGCTACTCCAACAGCAGACGGGGAAAAAACACCAACACTCTGCCAGTCCAGTCCCTCCCCCTACCTTCATCTTGGAGGCTTTCTTGCCTCCACGGATGGCATTGTCCTCGAAGGTGAATTCGTTCTCCCGGATGACAGCACGGCTGTCCTTGTCGCCCACGTAGGTCACCACGTACATGTCGGGAGCCCACATCTCGAACTCCCGCTCCCAGTTTATGATGGTGGACAGGGGGGCGCTCACCAGGAAGGGACCCTTCGAGTGACCCTGAGGGAGAGAAGTCGATACAGGCACACTGACGAGCTGCTACAGTGCAGGCTTTTGGACCTTCCAAAAGAAAGAACAAATTTGTACAATGCTCCCCCTGCCAGTGAAATCCAACAAAATCGGCAGATTTATATATAACATGTTGGTCATCCGTTACCCTCCTCATAAATGACTGGACAGAACTACGGAATTAATGATTTCATGCCTGTTTGAAGATTAAGTACAAAAAACTAGCAAAACCGTACAAACCAATCAGTACACGCAAGCTTCTTATACACTTATACAAGAAGACCACAGTCTGCACGGTCTTGTCCAGAGTGTCCAAGAGCCTGTACCTCTTTATACAGCGAGTACAAGACCGCAGTCTGCACGATCTTGCCCAGAGTGTGCAAGAGCCTGTACCTCTTTATACAGCGAGTACAAGACCACAGTCTGCTCAGTCCTGCCCAGAGCGTGCGTGAGCCAGTACCTCTTTATACAGCGAGTACAAGAAGACCGCAGTCTGCACGGTCTTGCCCAGCCCCATCTCGTCGGCCAGGATGGTGTCAGTGCCCTGTGCCCAGGAGAAGCGCAGCCAGTTCAGCCCCTCAAGCTGGTAGGGGTGCAGTGTGCCCCCTGTACTGTCCAGGTAATCCGGCTGGCGCTCAAACTTGATAGTGGGCTGGAGAGAGATGGGAGAGGACGGAGAACAGATTAAAAGGTAGCCAAGTAAATTGCACTCCCAGAAGGAAAACTGGGATGGACTGGCACATTCCAACTGTTAATGAAATGAAAAAAAATGGATAATAGATATATAAAGGAGAAAGAAGCAGCCCGAGACCTCTACAAACAAGGTTATCCCTGGAATTAAAGGAACGCCTTTGCAAGACACTGACCCCAGTGAATAGTTCACTTGGTTTTTGGGGTACCTAAAAATTGTCTGGGGCAATTCTCTGGACAAAACCAGATTTTGGATGTCAAATTAATTAGCAAGGCAGCTAAGGGATCCTTAGATGATGGGGAGGGGTGTCCTCTCACACAAGATCCTGTCTTTCCACGAGTATCTTTTATTGGGAAAACGAGAACCCTACTCCTCATTTTGGGGTATTGGCTGGATCACATTTTGATAAAGGCCATTCATAATCAAGGTATTTACAAAAAGCAGAGGTTACATTACTGTAGCTATCTCTTCGAAACACATCTGTGACACTGGGATATCGGAGTGCTTCCATAAGATGACTTACATCTACTACGGGGTTCTCAGGCGGCCGGTCCAGTTTCTTCACCTTCGACTTCAACTTCAGCTTCTTCCCTGGTCTCCCTTCCTCCCCCATCATCAACTCCCTGAGAGAGAAAGGCAGATGAGCACAGGCAGACCAACTCCCTGGACACCACACGAGCACTGGACTGAGAGGAGGGGTCGACAGTACTAACTCTGCACTGAGACAAGGGGTTTACGCAGACTGGTGGGGGTGCCCATACTGGCACACTGTCACACTGGACACCAGTACACCATGGCACACCAGCAGAGAGTTGAACACAACACACATTCTGGGGCAAGACGATCCTCTGCGCGGTGCTGTGCACTCACACACCTGTGGTTCCAGTAGGCCACTTTGTAGCTGTCGTACTCAGGGATGTCCATGTCCTCCAGCTCCCAGGTGGCCTGGTCATAGGGCAGGTCTCGCCACTTGATCAAGAAATGGACATTGTTTTTCTTATCCACGCTGAGCGGAAAGGGAGAAAAGACACTTCAGATCAGCAGACCGGGACATGCGACGCTGTGCATTTAAACCGTTCTGCCCCCGGATGGTGAATCCTTCCATCTGCCAGACAACGTACTCCAGTAGTCAAACCATACGACAAAGGACAGATGTTTCACTCCAGATTAGAGATGCAAAACTAAGCAAATTATTCCAGACTAACAAAATGTATTCTAGACTTGAGATCGGATTATAGATCAATATATTCCACACTGCATTTTTATTCTAGTAGCACAAAATTATGAAAAGTATTGTATCATTTAAATAAATCTGGGATCATCTCTGAATATATCCCAGATCACAGAGCCATCGGATTCCCCTGGCTGTTCCAAGCTCTGGTCACCTGTGGTTGAGGATGCGATGGATCATCATCCATTCCATCTTGATGCCAAAGCGGTAGTACTTCTCCTCCATCTGAGCGAAGACGGGGTCTTTGTTCTTCCGCTTGGAGCTCTTGTCATCATCCCCGTCTCCGCCGAAATCCACAGGGGGGGGCTCGTCCATGTCGTTCTTGCGCTGGTAGTTCCGGAACATCACCTGACAGTGCAGCTCCAGCTGGAGAGAGAGCGAGAGCCGGGAGGGAGGGGGGGGTCAGCTCGGCACAGATGTCGCAGTGACTGATGGGACGCTACAGCACACTGGCGTTGCACAGAGACGCAGCCCTCTTGCATCTTGCAGTCAGGAACAAGGAGACGACTGTGACTCTTGCAATATAACAGACGGGTCAGAGACAAACAGAGGGAGAAGGTGAGAGCTTGATACCTAGAGGCAGACACGGACAACCCTAGAGAGAAAGACATGCGCGCAGGTCTGACACCACGGAGGAGAGAAAGCAGAACGGGCCTCCGCAGAGAAAGGTGGTACCTGAAGTTCGGACACCCAGGAGCAGTGCCAGTAGGACATGTTGCTCCACTTGACAAAGAACTCCCTCTCGGGGCGTCCTGCCAGGGGCTTGGGGTCGGGGGCGTCGTCTGGGAGACCCGGAGGACGGGGCACCGGGGTGGGGGGCGGGGGCTCACCCCAGCGCCACGTCAAGATCTTCTGGACCTTGCCCTTCATGGGAGGAGACTGAGACAGAGAGGGAGAACTAGATCAGCTGGAGAAGACAAGGCTCACGCTGCAGAGAGAGACAGAGAGGCGGGTTGCCATTAACAGAACAGACTACAACAGCACGATGCGAGCTTAGGGTGGGAAATGCCTTCCTCAGGAATTCAGGATCACCGAGGCACATATTCAGGTTCAAGGAACAGCAACAAATCTCACCTACGATCCTAAAGCAACAGAGGCAAAGAGACCAACAGGCTGATGACATTACTATGCCATCATGACAAAAATACTCCCTCGCTTAATAGGTCTGTTCTCCCCTTTTATCTTTTATCCCCAGCCCTGCTCTGGGAGAGCAGCTACGTCTACAGATTTGCAGTCAAGCTGCATTCTTCTCTATGCGACAAAAAAAAAAAACACATCAAGCAATTTAAAAGATCGTTTTAAAAGCAAGCGGCAAGTTAATCCCGTGCTATCAGAAGTCCACATTAATGCATGAATTTCTAAACTTTTGAACGGGACTCTGTTCTTATGGATTATTGGTCTTTTACACTGAATGCTTAAATATATTTGTTTTGTAAGCAAACCGTGTCATTCGCCAATATTTTTTTTCCCTCTGCTTTCATTCATATTGCAATGGCACCAACAAGAGGAAAATTACCAGTGACAACACTACTAGGTCAGCTCTGCACAAGTCAGAATTCACAATGAACCCTGCACAAATGGGATCACAATACAAACACTGTGGGAATAAGGGCAGGGTTTGTCAACACTGCACAAGCATGGGCAGCCGTGATGACCAGAACAACACTGACGGCATTTAAGGGGTTCAGTAAAGAGACTCCCCAAACACTACTATTCTATCACTCAACACTGTTCACCCAGGAGTGTCCCAAGCGTCGCTCTCCATTGAGCCCACTGATTGGACAGGACTCCCATCAATCATACCCTCCCGCCCCATCCCCTCCTGCTGATTGGCCTCCCCGCTCACCGTGCAGCGGGGGCACAGCCACTCCCCGTTGGGAATCTCGGGCAGGGGCGGGTTGAGGCAGTGGATGTGGTAGGAGGAGGGGCAGGAGTCGCAGCACAGCAGCTCCCCTCCGTCCTTGCACACCCGGCAGAACTCCATGTGGTGGTCGTCCTCCTCCGCCTCGCCCCCCCCCTCGTTGTCCTCGTCGCCCTCGGACTGCTCCTCTCTCGCTTCCCACTGCACTCCTTCCTTTTCCTGACGTTAGGAGGGGGGGGGAGACAAAGATCAGGGCATTGAAACCACAGCCTTACTCTACAATCAGGAAGAGAGGGGGACCAAAGATGGGAGTGACTTCCTGTTTGGGGCAGCAGAGTTGTCACCCACGCCCTGCAATGGGTTAGCCACACGCGTGTTTGATCACAATATAAGCATCAAGCACAAAGACCGATCCCAGAGTAACTGGGTACATCCGCAGTGGAGATCATGCCTATATTATTCTGCAGAACACTGCAGATACTGGGAGGGCAGAAATTGTTACTTATCATTTCTTATCCCAGTGTAATTTGGGATAACATTTCAGCCGCCCGGGGTACTTGTGCGATCGAGCAGTTAGAAACAGGGCAGTTACTCACAAGGAAGCACATTCTGGGGGCAGGCGAGCGCCTTTACTCACACAGTGGGGGCAGCTCCACTTGCCCTCGGGGGCTTTCTCCATGTCGGGGTCCAGGCACACCATGTGATAGGCCCGGGGGCAGGTGTCGCACAGGATGATCTCGCCTCCCTGCTGGCAGACCTCGCAGTAGTCCTGGTGGTCCGTCTCGTAGCCGTCGGCATCGTCGTCTGGAAGGGGACAAGAGGATGGTGGGTAGAGACGGGAGGGGGAGAGAAGAGGGAGCGGGCACCGCGGCGCGGGATCCCCCGCCGGCGGGCGGACAGACCTTTCTTCTTCTTCTTGGAGGTCTTGGCGCGCCTCTTGCTCCGGCTGCTGCGGCTGTTCGAGCCGTCCGACACGGAGAAGCTGTTCAAGCTGCCCTCGTCGAAGTCGCTGTCCACGTCCAGGTCGTCCTCCTCGCTCTGGAAGGGGGAGGGTGCGAGCGCTGATAAAGGACGGGTGCCGAGGCGGCGGGTGGAACCGGGGGCGGGCGCGAGGGAGTGAGGCGGGCGGGACTCACCGACGAGCGCTTCCTCTTGCTGTTGAAGCCGCCCAGCTTGATCTTCAGGGGCGCCACCTTCTTGGTCTTCACCTTCTTCTCGGCTGCCTTCGGCGGGGGCTTGGGCTTGCGGCGGGCGTTCGGCCCCTTCCCCTCCTTGGTCTTGGCCTTGCGGAG